AAGTGACATTTAGCTATAGAAATTGCTCATCATGGCACGTATGGGGAACTACTAACACTTAAAAGGACTACCATATCAATCTCTATGTTAAAGGATCAAAGGAATGATCCCGAACACCACAAATTTTTCTCACAATTAGCAATATTGCAGCTTCCACAATGTAACCAGCACTATGGTCTATGTAGATAGCCATGTTCCGTCGATAGGTGTTGATCTTGGCAAGTGGTTCAGTGATCTTGGCAAGTAGTTCGGCCTCGGCCCATTTAGTGAAATAATCCACTGCAACGATTGCGAATTTCACACTTTCCCTTCCGGTGGGCATAGGTCTGATCAGGTCGACCCCCCATTTCGCAAAGGGCCAGGGTGCCGTCACCGGGTTCAGTTCATACGGTGGAGTGTTCATGATAGGGGCAAGACGCTGACACTTGTCACATCTTTTAACGAATTCAAGGGCATCGTGTCTTATTTCATACCAGAAATACCCTTGACCTATGATCTTGTGGGCAAAGGATTGCCCATCGGAATGATTTCCATACATTCCTTCATGAACGTCTTGCAAGGCATGTTGGGCTTTTCTTTACTCAAGCATCTGAGCAAGGGTGTAGAATATCCCCACTTGTAAAGGACATCATTGATGAGTGTGTATCTAACCGACCTGATTTGAAGCCTTCTGGCTTCTACCGAGTTTTTGGGGCATTTCCCGATCTTCAAGTGTGTGACGATCTCGTCCGGCTAGGTTGGTTTGGGATCTATCATCATGAGGGCCACTTCGCCAATTAGGTGGCAGGTAGGGATATTCTTCCCACGGGGATGCTATCGAATTCTTCAATTCCCTCATTGGTTTCTAGGCGAGCCAAGGCATTGGCATGGCCATTCTGAAATCGGGGGATCTGCTTGATTTGGATAGTATTGAAGCATTCGAGCTCTTTCCTTGCAACCCGTAGGTAATTGTCCATTCTCTCTTTTTTCACTTGATATACGCTGTTGATCTGATTCACGACTAGCTGGAAATCGCTGTGTATAATTAGTCTGGGGATTCCTAAACCTGAGGCCATCTTTACACCAGCGATGAGAACTTCGTATTCAGCCTCATTGTTTGATGCCTTGAAGTCAAACGATAGAGCTTCACAGAATATGTGTTGCTCCGGCCTGACCAATACAACGCCAACCCTAGATCGTTCTTCGGTAGATGACCCATCAACATAAAGTTCCTAAGGTGTTTCTTTTGGTGGTTCCTCGACTGGCACTCTGCAGAACTCAGAGATAAAGTCGGTGAGTGCTTGGCCCTTGATAGAGGAGCGAGGTGTGTACTTTATGTCGAATTGTTTGAGCTCCACTGCCCATTTTACCATTCGACCTGAAATGTCGGGCCTTTGCAACGTTTGTCTTAATGGTGAGTTAGTGAGGAATCCAAGAAATATGGCCTCAGTTTTCGTGCTGCCATCAACAAGTTTAATGCCAATTTTTCCACAGGCAAGTATCGAAGCTTTGCTTCGTTGAGCGCCTTGCTTACATAGTAGACTGGGTGCTGAACGTCGGCCTCCTCTCCGGTCAGTACGACACTAATAGTGTGTTTTGAAACAGATAGATATAGTTTCAGGACATCGCTTGTCTTTGGTTTTGAGAGCAGTGGAGGCTGGGCTAGCTGTCTTTTTAACTCGTTAAAGGCTTCCTAACATTCCTCGGTCCATTCGAACTTCTTTCATTCTTGTAGTGTATCGAAGAAGGGTTTGCATCAGTCTGTAGACTTAGAGACGAACCGAATGAGGGCGGCGATCCTCCCAGTTAAACTTTGCACCTCTCTGGGTTTGGTTGGAGGCTTAATTTGGATAACAATTCGTATTTTTTGGGGTTCTCCTCGATTCCTCGGTTGTTTACAATGTAACATAGGAATCTTTCGGAACTGACCCCGAAGGCACACTTCTTTGGGTTCAACTTCATTCCATATGTTCTCAAGATATCGAACATCTGGGCCAAGTGCAGTCAGTGGTCTTTGGCCTTGGCGCTTTTAACCAACATGTCGTCAATATATACTTCCATTGTTTTTCCGATTTGCTGGGAAAACATGGAGGCCAACATTTTTGAGTCAAAAGGACATTATTTTGTAGCAGTAAAGATCTCAGTCAGTCACAAATGAGGTATGTTCCTGATCTGGGCCGTACATTGGTATCTGATTGTAGCCGGAGTACGCATCCATGAAACTGAGTAGTTCATGTCCTGCAGTGGCGTCCACCATTTGATCTATTCTTGGTAGGGAAAAACTGTCTTTGGGACATGCTTTGTTGAGGTCGGTGAAGTCTATGCATATCCTCCAATCTTCATTGTGTTTTTTTACAAGAACCGGGTTTGCGACCCACTTTGGGTATTTCGCCTCTCGAAGGAAACCGCTGTACAATAGTTTTTACACCTCTTTGTTGAGTGCTTCATATCTTTCAGGATTCAGGGGCTGTCGTTTTTGTTGTTTTGCCCGAACTGAGGGGTTTACCTGCAATTTGTGGCGGGCAATTTTGGGGTCTATTCCTCTCATGTCCCTGTGGTCTCAGGTAATGACATCAAGGTTCTGTTTGAGAAAAGCCACAATTTTACTTTGGATTGAGGGTTGCAGCTCGCGTCCGATTTTTAGTTCTTTTGACAAGTCATCAATACAAACTTGGACTCCTTCCAACTCTTTGACGGGTTTTCCCCTTTCGATTTTGATCTGCGAGTCTAGTGAACTGAGTTCGGAATCCCATATGTGAGCCATGTGCACTCTCTGGAGGTCGCGCAAATAGCGGTCGTAGGCTTTTAATTGACATGCGTCAGTGAGCTCTTTGTTTCCTTTGACTTCTCCTATACCATGGGGACTGGGGAATTTAATTGAATAGTGGAATAGTGATACCACTGCTTTCAAACTGAATATCAATAGTTGCCCCATGACGACTTCATAAGGCGACGAAGCATCGAACACCACGAACTTGGAGTTTGTCTTTACTTGATGGGTTGTCGATTCGGACTCAACTTTGAGTTTGATCAATCCTTTAGCTGAGGTCAGGGCTCCACTTAGTCCAAGGACCGTATTTGAGTATGGTCGTAGGAAGTTGGCAAGTATATCCATCCACTTGAGGGTGTTGTTGAAGAGAATGTTGAGAGCACTTCTTGTATCCACTAAGATTTTTGGGATGGTTACTCCTGCGACAGGTAACGAGATTACCAAGACTCCGGAGTAGGGATGTGGATTCGCTTCTTTTTCCTCAAAGGATAACTGGTCATCCGTAGGTCGTTTGAAATGTTTCTCGATTATCCTGATCTCAAAGAGATCCACTACGATTGTCTCTTCAGTTTGGCTTCTCGGCTAGCGTATTTGCCCTGTCCCTTAGCATGTTAACATGAGGTTTGTATAGGTCTATATTGCACTCTCTAGCCCCAATTTGGTCTCCTCGGACTATCCCGGTCCCATGAGGGGTAGGAAACTTCATACAGTAATG